CTTGGCTTGGGGATGCTCTTGGCATCCTTTGGGAAGTGAAGTTTCCCTCAGTGACAGCACCGAGGCCTGGGAAACACCAGCTCAGGCCAGAGTGTTTCTGCCCTGGCTGCTTGCTCAGCTTACAGGAAAGGCAGAGGGAAACAGCCCTGACTGGAAGCTGTGTGGTCAGAAATTCTGCTAGAAGTGCATCTCTGCTGGCTCAGCAGCAGTGTTTGATGAGGAAGGGTTCTCCAGTGGTAACTGGGCAGTGAGCAGCAAACCAGAGCTTGTTTTGTGATGGTCACGCTGCAGCAGGGGCTGGTTCGTGGAGGCCACGGGCTGTGGGAGTTGTCCAGGGTGGCCAAACAAAAAGTGTCACAGGCAAATCCCAGCTCCTGCAGGAAGCAGAAAGGCAGAGAGGGCTTTGGAGACAGGAACCAGGTTGCTAAAATCTTCCAGAGTCTCAGGAATGTGAAAGGCCCTGGGCAGAGAGGTTAACTGCAGGCTGAAGGGTTTTCCCATCTTTTTTCTCTGGCTTTACTGTTAATAAATAACTTGGTACCAGCCAGACTTGGGCCTCAGCCAGCTCCAGTGATGAACAGCAAAGCCCATCCTTCCCAAACCTTGGAGAGCTGCTGCCTTCCCTCAGCCTGCTGTCTCTGGAGTGATTAGTCTGGCTTTGGAAAGGTCCCTGTCCAGGCCTGTGGTTGGGAGCTAAATAAATCCTTGTTTCCAGCTGCTGCTGCCCCTCAGCAGCGAGTGGGAGCAGCAGGAAGCTGCTGTGATCTATTCTTTCCCTGCTTTGGTGGCAGCTCCACACTCCTGAGCTGCTTTTGCTCACTTGGTTTATCAAGTGGGAAGAGCTGCTCTCTGCAGGAGGCAGTTTAGCAGGAACATCCATTTTCCCCGAGCGGGAATGATCCAAGGGAAATCCAGAATTCAGTTTGTGCAGCCTGTGGCTCCCTGCCCTTCCCACCATGCTTCTCCAGGGAGGGAGGGAAGGAGGACGGGGAGCAAGATGCTCCAAGGTTAAACCCAGGCCGTTACAGAGCTGGGGACCAAGTGAGTTTAGAAGTTGCCCAGGTTTTGCAAGGAAGCTCTGCCCGAATTTCCCAATCTTCCCAAGGATCTCTGGGTTTTCATTCCAGTGAGCTGCAAGCCAAAGGTCCCTGGTTATGCCAGGAGTGCTTCTTCTCAGACCCTCCAGTTCAGTGCCCTTCTGGAGTGCAGCTTTTCCCCTGAGTGAGGGCCCTGCCAGTGGATGCACCTGCCTGGATTTAGCAGAGGAATTGAGCCCAGTTTTGAGGGCCAGGGCAGGGTGGGGACACGCAGGGAAAGCTGCCCATGGACAGAGGCTGGAATGAGATGAGCTTTATTTAAATCCACCCCAACCCATTCCCCGATTCTCTGCCGTGACCTTGCTGCTGTCAGTGCTGAGGACTGTCCGTTGCCATCTGTCCTTTGTCCCCCTTTCCCCTCACCCCTGCCCAGGCGACGCCTGCAGCTGAACTCCAACCAGGCCTTCTTCCTGCTGGTGAACGGGCACAGCATGGTGAGCGTGTCCACGCCCATCTCCGAGGTGTACGAGAGCGAGAAGGACGAGGATGGCTTCCTGTACATGGTCTACGCCTCCCAGGAGACCTTTGGAGCGCCAGCGTCCGCCTAGGACACGCCAGCGGCCCCAGCCTGGGATTTGGGTTGACCCTTGGCCATCACCCCCACTCTTCCCCACACACCCCCCAGGGAAAGAACCGGATGTCACCTCCGCTCTCAGTCCTTAGCATAGTCTCGCTTTAGCAGGTGTCTCATCTCACCTTGCCTTGTTTGTGACTATTACACAGTACAGACGAGCACCTCCAGCTTTGAAACCTGCCCTAATAATATCCCACACAGGCACATTTACAGGTCTGGACCTGACGAAAGGAGCTCAATTGTGCATGTGACACTTGCAGAGAAAGGGACACTCGATTTACTTTTAACGAGCAAACGGGCACCAGGGAGGAACTAAAATGTTTCCCGTGAGTTTGCTGGAAAATCTCCCTACGATTCCTTAATTTTTTTTGTTTTAAATGGGAAGGTTTCTCTTGAGAGCAAATGCATTTTAATGTTCCAAAGGGGAGCTTTTTCTTCTGCAGCTCCATCAGACTCGTGTCAGCGCTGCAGGGAGTTAAGGCAAGTGCTTGGGGTGAGCTGGGGAAGGACAACTCTTTGTGTCTCCGGTTTTTGGGCACCGCACGCTCAGGGGCGGTGCCGCTTTCTGGAATACTCCTACCAAACACCACAGCTTTATCGTAGTTTTAGGAAGTGTCTAACTGTAAAGTGCACACCCGAACAGGTAACACCGAAATAAACTCCAGTCTGTTACGAATTCCCAATCCCTGTGTGTTCATCTGAGCTGGCTTCCAGCGATCCGTAGGATCATGCCCCTAGCCCGGAGGTCGGGAGAAGCAGCTCAGGGCCGCGAGCGGCTGCCGAGATTGACGAACAAATGATTTTGTGGCACGGCTGGAGGCTCCCGTGGCCCGGGCAGGGAGCAGGCTGTGCAGAGGGGAGCTCTCCCGTGGGACAAACCTGTGTTTCTCTAGTGCTGTCAGCGAGGCGCGGCGGGATCCCCGCGGTGTCACCGGTGTCACCCGGCTCCGACGGGGACAGAAGCAATACTACAGCGCCTGGCACTGCGCGGGGTGCACGCGTTGTACCTCCTCCACCTTGTACCTCCTCTCCACTCTTTGCATGCATCTCCTTGCCGGGGCCCCCCCTGCCCGTTTTTTATTGTCCTTTGTGTTTTTACTCCGACGTGAACTTTTCGATGCAGCTTGTTCTCTTGTTTAGTTCTGTTCGTGGAAGAACTCGTTTAACTCATAACTGACAACTGTACTTGTAATTACGACGTGATCGACTGATATTCCTGTACAAATGTTGCTTTTTTAAAATTAATACAGTGCTGATACGGATGGATTACATCCCAACTTAATTCCGGCTCGTGTGGTTTATTCCTAGGCATTTTCACAGCAAAATAATTAAAGGAATTAAAAATAATTCTCTGCTACTGCCAAGCTGGAGAGAAGCCCCCACACAGCTGAATCCCTTTAAAAGGAAAGCCAATATCAAGGGATTCTGTTTAATTCTTTATTTTCCATACATTAAATTTACTCAGATAAAAACATTCTAAAAATGTACAATTTAACTTTTAACAAAGTATAATAAAACATAAAAATCCCAATACCAGAATACTTGACATTTACAATTCAAAATCAAATTAGCTGAATATTAAATATTTACAAAACTATTTAAAATATTTATAAAGTTACATGCAGAATTTGTAATACTAGAAGTGATCGAAGTAAAAGAAATGGCTCAAATGGAGCAGGAATTTCCTTCATTCCTAATGGAAAGTTATGTCCAAGAGAAGCTTTTAATCTGCACTTGAAAACACACAGGATTTGCTTTCTGCTTCAGTACCAACACAGTTCTTGTGTGGATCAGGAGAATTTCAGGGAACAAATGGGTAATTCCAAGGGTTTATTACAAGAGCTGTGGGGCCTCAACCAGCCAAAGTGATTCCTACTCTCACAAATGCTCCGTTACGTGGATTTTTGTCCAGATTTGCCCATATTCATCCCATTTACAGGTGTTCCAGACTAGCCCGAATCCAGCACCCCCAGGGTCCCTCTGGCACAGCTCTGCTCCCCTGCAGGATTTTGGGAAGAGCTTTGCTCTGCCCGGTGCCCCAGCCTGGCTCATCCCGGGATGTCTCTGGGATTTGGGGGCACGGCCAAGGGCTGGTGCTGGACTCTTACTTTGGGAAGTCTGGTGCTTAATTTGCCAAGATTTAATGACCATGGTATGAAAAGGTTTCACAAAAAGCTGAGTGTGACAGAGCTGGTTTGAATAAAAACCAGTTCGGATAAACTTTAGTAAAGGTTCAAATGTAGTTTTCAATAAAGTCAGGTGGAACCCTCTGATCAGTATCTCAGTTCCCTCTCCTCCCTCTCTGCATTCCCTGTTAGGGTCTAGCCCAGATTATTTATTAATGCTTAATTTGCAGGGTGAGGAGGAGTTCACTGGAAATTCCATCCTATTTCCAGTCTTTCCATCATCAAATGGAAAATGCAGCTGGAACTGTCCCACCCGCTGCTCCCTCCCCTGGGAAAGGCTCCTCACTGATTCTCCTGCAGGGAGATCACTGGGGATTCCCTTCCCTCTTACACTGAAAAATCATTCCCATTCCACTGTGAAATCCATCTGGAGAACTAATTATTTTTATATTGGCAGGACAAAGATAGGACTAAATAACATTCTTTGAAATCTCCATCTTTCAATGTACAAAAATAGGGTTTAAGAACTGGTTTCTTCAGGCAGGGCAGCTGGAACTCTACTATTCCAACCCAAGCTGCCTTGCTTTTTAGGGGTAAAAAAGATGGATTTGTGCCTTTGAAGAAGAGATTAAGGATAATTTTATGGAATTAAGGTGCTCTGTTTTGGACTTACCAACTTTGGTTGTTCTGGGTACAGAGTGGAGGGTGTTCACTGGCAGGTCTGAAGCCCCAACTCACTGGGATTTGGGGAAGGCTCTGAGGTTGCTGCTGGCTCACCAGATTTTCCTCTCGGACACTCGTGTTGCCTCCAGGTCCTTCTGGATTGGATCTTACTCCAAACCCAGACCCAGCCGTTCCAAAGCGTCCCCCAAATGCAGCCACAAGCCACTTGGAGAAACATCAGCTGTAACTTGACACAAAGGAAAGGATCCCAAAGGAAAGGATTCCAAAGGAAAGGATCCCAAAGGAAGGAATGAAACAGCTGGAAACATCAGCCTGAACTCTACACACAGGGAAGGATCCTAAAGAAAGCTCTGGAGAAAGGAATGAAACAATTTTCTGGACAGACATTCAGTTTTACAGTCCTTTTGATATGATTTTTTCTGTGAGGAAGATCAGACACAGCTGTGCCCAGGCTTGGGCAGTAAAACAAAACA